TATCAAATAATGCATTACCTGAAAAAAAAACTGTTGTCTCCGAGAAGTGGCTTGAAGAAATCATATGTAGAATCCTTATTGATTAAACTGTTGCTATTTAACACTTCCTATAAAACGTTATACTAAATATTTACGTAATGAATATATTACATAACTAAGCATGTTTTATTACCTTTGCAGATTCTGGATGTAAGAAAAAAATTAATTTATATCCAAGTATGTTTGTACAAACAACTTTCTCGTTTGGAAATAGCTTAGAGAGCCCCGCAGATATATTTAAAGTAACTAAAAAGTTACGAAAAAATATTTCATCTATTCATAAACAGCGAAATTACCTAAAAAAATATTAATGACATACATATGCCAATGTGTGAATTGTTGTATTTCTTGTCACGTTGAGAAAATACAATGTTCCACAAAAGTGGTAAAAAGGACATAGTCGGAAGATTCATTTTTAACTTCTGACCGTTGTCTTCATTTCCTGAAAAATTAATGTCTGTTATAAATATAACAGTTGATAACGAGCAATCATTATTGCGACATTGTCAGAATGACGAGCAGCAATCTTTTATCATATTATTATTTATTTATTTTAAAATGTTTTACCTTATACTTTAATTATAATTTTTGTCGCCGAGTTAACTCTTTGTGAAATTACTTATTTTCAATAAGTTGTTTAGAAAAACATTATATTACTTCAGGATAATAATAATAATATCATTGAAATGCAAGATTATATAATTATTTTCAATTACACTTTTAGTAAATTATGCCTACCGCGAAAATAGTGCCTCCCATATCTCTGATAACATCTTCTTCGGATATTAAACCTTGTTTGACATGCAAATCCAACAGGGAATCGATAACACGCTGTTTTGTTTTGGTCTTTGGTTCTTCTTCATTACAGGTCTCTTTGTCTAAGGAATGTTGCTGCTGCTGCATTTTTTTTACCAAATTTTCTTTTTTTCTCTTAAACAGCTACACATTAAATTAAATCATTTGTTATATAAATCAAAACAAAAATTCTATTTACTAGTTGAGTTTACCTTTTCGTTGAAACGATGAAATATTTCAACGTCTCTCTTGTAATTTTTTCCTATTTTACTCATGAAGAAAATTGGAAAAAACCAGTACATTGGATTTACTAACCATGCAGGAAAACATTTCAGAATTCTAAATTTTAATGTAAATTATTATTATATCAAAAGATAATTAAATTAAATCATTCATTACTTAAATCAAAACACAAAATTCTATTCATTAGTTGAGTTTACCTTTTCGTCGAAACGATGAATTAATTCAACGT